AGGTAATACTGGGATCATGAGCAGAACATCTTGAAACTTCTGAGAAGTGGGGCGCCTGGGTGGCTCAGTGGGTTAAGCCTCTGCCTTTGGCTCAGGTCATGATCTCAGGGTCCTGGGATCGAGCGCCACATTGGGCTCCCTCCTTGGCAGGGAGTCTGCTTCTCCCTTTCCCTCTGCTCCTCCCCCTTGCTCGTTCTTTCTCTCTCTCTCAAATAAAGAGATAAAATCTTAAAAAAAAATTTTCTGAGGGCGCCTGGGTGGCTCAGTGGGCCTTCGGCTGCCCACTGCCTTCAGCTCGGGTCATGATCTCAGGGTCCTGGGATCGAGTCCCGCATCGGGCTCTGCTCAGCGGGGAGCCTGCTTCTCCCTCTCTCTCTGCCTGCCTCTTTGCCTACCTGCAATCTCTGTCTGTCAAATAAATAAATAAAATCTTAAAAAAAAAATTTTCTGAGAAGTGGCCAAGGAGGCAGCAAGGGAAATGTATAGCTTCAAATACATTTCTTGGTAAAAAGATGAGATGAAAAATGAATGAACTGAACATTCAACTTGAGAAGTGAGAAAAAGAGCAATAAAATAAAAGAAAGGTCAAAGGAAGAGCTAATAGGACATAAAGGAAGGAATTAAGGACTATTAAGGACACAAAACCAGGAGCTGGGTCTTTAAGAAGACCAGTACGATGGGATGTCTAGGGACATGCCCCGACTGCAGATTCCTCAGTGGGGGCCTTCGTGGATAGTTCTCCCACCGAGCTTTTGGTAGTAATCGTTCAGCCAAGTGTACTAGTTATCCCTCGCCATGTAACAAATTCATCCAAACGTAGAGACATAAAACCAGAAACAGGTTTTGCACAGCTTCTGTGCTCCGGAATCCAGGCAGGACTTTGCGGGGTCTCTGACAAGGCTGTGGTCAAGCTGTTGGCGACCTCAGCCACCCCACGGCTTAAGTCGGTCAGAGGGCAGGGTGGGGGGGAATCCATTGCCAGGTTCACTCAGCGGGCTGTTGGCGAGCCTTGGGTCTTCACTGGCAGTGGGCTGGGGACATGGATTCCTCGGCACATGGCACATGGGCCTCGTTGGTAGGACTGATCGTAATGTGGCTTGCTTCCCCCAGAGGTAGGACACAGAGAGAGAGGGAAGGAGGGCGAGAGAGGGAGAGGGAGAGGGGATAGTCCTCTTTAATGTTGGTTTTTGTAATCAGTCTTTTCAGAAGCTAATTTTGGAAGTGACACCTTGTGACTTTTGCCCTATTCTAGTATTCTCCTGGTTACATGAAAGTCTCTGGGTCCAGCCACAGTCGAGAGGAATCAATATATGAAGGTGTGAATGGCAGGAGGTAGGGATCTCTGGGCACCACGACCCAGGCTGTGTGTCACACAAAGGTCATCCTTCTGCAGGGCAACTCTTCCTTTCGCTAAGTGAGGGCCTCGAACCATGGGCTGGGAGCTAAGGCAAGCTCTGCTACTCAGTCCTTACATGGGACCCTTCCTTCCCCATCTGAAAAATGGGATCATAATAAATATCACCTTGAACATTTGTTGAGTTTATTGTGATGAGGGCTGGATGAACTGCTGGACAGAGTACCCTATAGGAGGAAGGCTTTATTTTATTTATTTTCTCGAGAAAGAGTGAGAGAGAGAGAGAGAGAGAGCACAGAGGGAGAGGAAGAAGCAGACTCCCTGGGGAGCAGAGAACCAATGTGGGGCTCCATCCCGGGATCCTGAGATCATGACCTGAGCCAAAGGCAGACGCTTAACCAGACTGAGCCACCCAGGTGCCCCGGAAGGCAGATGTTATTAAGAGAATGAGATTGGTGATGCAAGAATTGGACATTTAGATATTTTCTTTTCTTCTTTCTTTCCTCCCTCCCTTCCTTTCCCCCTTCCTTTTAAAAGATTTTTTAAAAATTTATTTATTTATTTATTTGACAGAGAGAGAGAGACAGCACAAGCAGGCAGAGTGGCAGGCAGAGGGTGAGGGAGAAGCAGGTTCCCTGCTGAACAAGGATCCCAACTCGGGGCTCGATCCCAGAACCCTGGGATCATGACCTGAGCCGAAGGCAGTCGTTCAACTAACTGAGAAACTCAGGCGCCTCTCTTTCAACAAATCTTTCACTGATGTCACACATACACACAGAAGAGTGTCCGATTCAGAACGTGGGCATGTGCTCCCCTCTTTAAGGACTTTTCTAAAACAAGTGAGCGTATAAGTTCTTTCTACTTTGTGAGCTTATCGAAACCTTCCTCGGGGAGCTAGAATTACGCTATAATCAGAAAAATAGCACCTTTACAAGGTGTAGTTTCTGTTGATTAGGGGTTTTTGTGTACAGAGCACTTGAAAACTCCTTATCTTGCTTGGGCTTTGCCGCAGCCCTGGGAGGAAGGCCGAGAAGGGATTGATTTCCTTGTGGCTTAAAATGAGGAAATCACTCTCCTCTCGAGGTGGGCGGGGGCCTGGAGGTGGTATCCTCTGTGAGCACTGGGCAGCAAGCCACCCATCAGCTCCTGGCACCCGAGGGCTCCCCGCGGGCCGGCTTCCCCGCACCCCTTCCCAGACCGGCGGCTGCCAGCTTGGATGGAAACCACTCTGGCCAGCCAAACCAGGGCTCTAGAAAAATCCCGCTTTTTCCGGAATCCACCCTAAATTCGTGGTCAGGATGCAGTCAAACGTCCTATGCAAATAGATTTAATGCAGCCACACTTTTAAGAGTAAACATTTAGAATTAGGGTTAAGTGTTCAGCAAAAGGAAATGGGTCCAATCAATTTAGCCAGTGAACAGCGTGATCGTTCAGGGGCATTACACGAGCGTTGTGAAATACAGATTTGTGAGCGTTAACGTTTACTCAATGAAGCAGGACAGAAAACGGCATCGGCAGAGGGCTGCCTGTGATATGAGTGCACAGAAAACCAGGAGGAGGGAAAGGCACCGGGAGAGCAAGCAGGTTTCCTTCTGGTGGGAGGGTTGTGAGTGCCTGCTTTGTTTCTGACTTTTATCATCCTTCATATCTCGAACTGCCTTTGTGAGCCTGTCAGTGACGTAAGTCACCGAAGATCACAGCATTTAAACCCCCAGTACCTGCCCACCCCAGCCCCCTCCCTTCTCTGATTTTTAACAGTTGGATGTAGATACTTCCAGAGTTTTCCTTGAATCCACCACGGGTTGCTTTCAAGACTTACTCGTACAATCAGAAAAATCATAGGGTGAGGGGAGAAAACAAAACAAAAGGCTCTCGGAATGAATCTTGACATCAGAGAAAATGAGAAGCTTCGAGGTTTTTTTTACAGAGCAAGTCTCTGTTTGAGGATGAGGAAGCAGGGCTCGGGACCTCGGGTGGCTTGCCAAGCTCACACAGGATTCGTGCTGGCCAGGCTGGGCAGGGGGTGGGCGGTTAGGAGCAGGGGGTCTGGAGGCTGGGTGCGGAGGGGTGGATGGGGGGTGGGGGGGGAGGCTGGAGGCAGGAAGCTGGGAGAAGGGAAGTCCGGAGGATGCTCTGGGTGGGGCTGGGCGCACCCAGGTGAGAAGCATCTCACCTGTTTGCTCTGGGTACTGGGAGATGCCCGTGGAGAGACACCCGGCAGAAGGGACCAAAGTCCCCATTAATGGCCTTGAGGGAGTTAATGTGTAATATTCTAGAATATAAACTGGGCCAGGAAGTACGATCCTGAGCCCAGGCCTCCAGGAGCCCCTGAGAGCAGCGGCCAGGAGCTGCCACCATGTCGGTGAGGATGCCGGCTTCCCGGCTGCTCCCCTCCTCTGTTCCCGGATCTCTGCCTGAGCACAGCAGCTTGGTGGGGAGGGGGGCTGGAGTAGAGCATCACTGCCCTATTCTGGGCCTCGGTTTCCCTATCTGTATAGTGACCGAGTGGGACAGACAGACCGATGGCCTCCACTGCCCTGTCGCAGGGGTGTTTTCTGCTCTTCCCACCACCCTGCAGCAGGAGCCCGCACCTGCCTCTCCCCCTCTCTACACTCCGTTGCTTATCCATAATAATAATAATAATATTAGGAGTAGTAATAATTGCCAACACCCACTGAGTTTTAAAAAAATATTTATTTGAGAGAGAGGGAGAGAGCATGCACACGAGCAGGGGGAGGGGCAGAAGGAGAAACAGCCTCCCTGCTGAGCCGGGCTTCAAACTCAGGACTCCGAGATCGTGACCTGAGACCAAGGCAGGCGAACCGACTGAGCCATCCAGGCGCCTCTCGACTGAGCTTTCCAAAGATGAAGAAACTGAGGCTGGGGGAGGAAGTGGCCCAAGGTCACCACCTGTGAAGTGCAGGAGTTTGAGTGGATCCTCTTTGCGGTCCCTGGTTCTCTGTCATAGCTGGCTGTGTGGCTTCAGACCAGTCACTCTTCCTCTCTGAGCCTCAGTTTCCTGCCTTTGTGGAACTGGTCACAGACGGCGTCTGAGGATCAGAAGGTGTCTTAGTGTCCCGTGGCTGCTGTAACACATTGATTCAGAGTTTCAGAGGGTAGAAGTCTGAAATCCAGGGGTTGGCAGGGTCAGGTCTCCCCTGAAGGCTCCAGGCAAGGATCCTTTCTGGTCTCTTCCAGCTTCCGGTGGTTGCGGGGAGTCCGGTGGTCCTTGGCTGTTGCCGGACGGCTCCCATCTCTGCCTCTGTCCTCGGAGCCTTCTCCTCTGCATGTCTGTGCCCCTGGACCCACTTTCCCTTTGCTTATCAGGATGCCAGTCATATTGGGCTTAAGGCCCGCCCTAAGCAATTCTTAACTACATTGCAGCTGCAAAGACCCTATCTCCAGATAGGTCACAGCCTCGGGTGGTAGGTGGCCATGACTTTTTGGGAAACACCATTCAAGCCAGGACGGATAAGATGCAGAATGTGTGGGGCACCTGGGTGGCTCAGTCGGTTGAGCGGCTACCTTCGGCTCAGGTCATGATCCCAGGGTCCTGGGATTTAGGGTCCCTGCTCAGCAGGAAGCCTGCTTCTCCCTCTCCCTCTGCCTGCCGCTCTACCTACTTGTGCTCGCTATCTCTCTGTCAAATAAATAAATACAATCTTAAAAAAGAAAAAAAAGATGCAGAACGTGAATGCCACGGGTCGGGTCATGTGTGGCAGGGATGACGTCATCCCTGTCCTCGGCGTCTGGGGGTGGGGGGAGCTCTGTGGCCCAGAGACCTTCCTGACCCTCTTTCTGCTTCTCCGCTTATCCCATCCCTGCCCTCTCTTCCCTCCTGCTCCAGAGAGCACCCAGTCCAGATCTCTTATATTAATGGTGGGGGAACCCTTCCCAGCTTGGTGCCCTTGAGTGTGCAGCCCCCGAGACGGTGCTTGTGAGTGGGTGCCACCGGCAGAAAGGCTCCGGGCACGCGTGTGATGGGCTTTTTGTGGAATGCTTCTCTGTCGGCACAGGGAAAATTTGAGATAACGAACATGGACATGAAGTTGGGGACAACCCTGAAGATCAAGGGCAAGATTGCCAGTGATGCTGATGGGTGAGCAAGGGGAAGGGCGGGGAGTGGCGGGGAGCGGGGGTGGGGGGGGTGGGGCAGAAGGGGGCAGGGGAGCTGTCCACAGGCCCCAACAGGCCTGGAAGGTGGCAGCCAGCAGGGCAGCCCGGTGAGATGCACACAGAGAACAGCGACCTCAGGCCAAAGGGGCCTTTTTTACATCCTTGCTCACTCTCACACCCTCCCATGCCCCCGCTGACTCCCCTCCTGTGAGGGGCCTGCCTTCATGGCTGAAGCTGCTTGGGGACCCTCAGAATTTCACAGCTCATGCAATATTCTCAATCCCCAAAGATGGTCTCCAAAGATGTTGAAGGGGCAGGTGGAGAATCCCCTGGAGCTCTGCCCAGTCCCCCAGGGGTCAGGTTATCTACTGAAAGCCCACGCCCGCCTCCTCCATCACCCTCTTTACCCGGCTGAACGGGCAGAGGGCCAGCCTCTCATGTTACACCAGAGACAGCCACCAGGAGGCGCCAAGGGGTCTCACTTGCCTCCTCTCCATTATAAGGGGCCTCAGTGACCCTCCCGGTGTTACAGCTCAGCGTCAGGGTCTACCTGTGTGCTGAACCGGTAGGGACTTTCTTGGAACCAATCTCCATGAGCTTTCGGTTGGGAAGGGGCGAGCTGATGTAGGCGGGAGGAGCCAAGAGCAAGGTCACCCCCTCCTCCTACTTGGGTTCCTCAAGTTTACAGACATTTGTGAGTCCTCGGGTCTGAGACCCCCTCTGAAGGCACCCTCTTTGTGACACAGCGTGTCCTACTCTCAGGCACCTTGACAGCCTAAGCCAGGCTGTAGTGATGCGGTCAAGAACTCACACAAGCCCTGACTGAGCACCTGCAATGACAGGGAGCTCACATTTAACGTTTAAACCTTAGCTTAAATGTTTAGGGCCAAACTCAATAGGCCTCCAGATACCTGAGGACAGCAGTTCTCCCCACCCCGCCAAGGATGGGCATCTCCCATCCCGGAGACTGTCACTCTGTGACTCTCCTGTCCAGAGCCTGAGTCTGGGCACCAAACGAACTCGGTACTCCCCATGCTAAGTTTTGGCGCTTGGTCTGGTGATAATCGAAGACGACCAGGTTGTCGCCTCCTTTGTTTTAAGGCACGGGCTGCAATTAACACTTTCTCTCGTGATCCTTTCAGCTTGTGGTCAACCCAAGCAGTTTCCCCCAGGGCTGGCCTCCAATCCTGACTTGTCACCCTTTTCCACCCCCGCAGATTTGTGATCAATCTGGGCCAGGAGTCAGAGAAGCTCAACCTGCATTTCAACCCACGCTTCAGTGAGTCCACTATCGTCTGCAACTCGAGGGATGGCAGCTGGGGGCAGGAGCAACGGGAAGGTCACATGTGCTTCAGCCCCGGGTCAGAGGTCAAGGTGAGGTCGAAGGGGAAAAGCGCCTGAGGAGGAGGTCACTGGGAGAGCCCAGAGGGTAGGGCCCCCTGGCCTAGACACATGTTGGCCTTGTTTTGAGCCACCGCGGCCGCCCCGGCCCACTTCCGGGGCCTCCTGCCTCCCTGACACCCTCCTCCCTCCACAGATCACCGTGACCTTTGGGAATGATGGATTCGAAGTGAAGCTGCCAGATGGGCACCAGCTGACCTTTCCTAACAGGCTGGGCCACAGCCACCTGAGCTACCTGAGCGTGCTGGACGGGCTGAGCGTCTCCTCCTTCAAGATCGACTAAGGGGACAGCACCTCCCTGGAGTGAAGACCCCGGGTGCAGATGCCCTCTCCCAGGCTTCTCTACCCACTCACACAGGACCAGTGGTTCCTGCCCCTGGGACCCTCCTCTCCTCCCCTAAGGCTAAGAACCAACAAAAGAACCTGTCTTGAGCCAGTCTTTCCATGGCCAGTGTTTTCCATACATTGTCACGCCCTCAGCATCCTCATGCTACGGAGAAGGAAACTGAGGCTCGAGCTCACAGGGCTGCAAGGTGGGGGTTGGGACGTGCTCCAAACATTGCGAGCACCCACTGCTGCCTATTTGTCTTCGATTATCACCAGACCAAGCGCCAAGCTGCCCCCTGGGATCATGGGGCAGGCCCTGGTTCCAGGCACCTGGGCCAGGGGCTGTTCCAGGAACTGCAGATAAGGCTCCCACCTGGGCCTCTTTATCACGGGAACATTCATTCCAACCTGGTTACTCATTACCCCCTGCCTCGGCCCCTCCCCTCACTGGGGGCCCCCGGGGGTGTGGGCGATGGGGGAGCGGAGAGGCGGCGTGATTCTTTGGTTTTTCCAAACTGACGGGAGGCCGTTTAAGCAGGTGGATGGGGACCCTGTTCTCCCAGGTCCCCAAGCACCTTGCAGGACACCTTTCATCAAAAAGCTTTTTTTTAATCAGGACCCAGAAGCGGGTCTGGGGTGCACAGGAAGGTGGGATTCCTCTCCTGTGAGGTCACACCTGACTTTTCTCTGAAACTTTTGGGATAAGCCAGGGGTTAGGTTTGTAATGTCAGGGAAGCAGCCTTAGGCAAGGGCTGGCGCTCTGGGGCATGCAGCAGGGACCCTGCTGGGGGCAGCTCTAGGATGAAGCTAGGGACAGGCGGTCCCTTTGGGAGAGGAGACAAAGGCCCTGTGTGGTATGCGCCCCGCTGCCCCCCCTTCTACCCCCAGCAAGGACAGTTTTTCCAGCACAAAGGCTGCACTGTGAGGCTGGGCCCTCCACAACCAGTGGGGGGGGGGTGGCACAGGGGTGGGGGTGGGCCTCAGGAATGGCTGTGGGTCCAGAGTGGCAGGGGGAGCAGGGCAAGGCAGCCCAGCAGGACCCAGAATGAGCCTGGTCTCCTCCGGCCTCCCTCCCTCGTCTGTCCTGCAGAGGTGCGGAGGAGCTGGGGGGCGACTCGGCTCTCCCATCAATCACCGGGAGACCTAGTTGTCAGGTGCAGGCTCTGCACCTGGGCTGTTCCCGGGCGGCGCCCTGGGCCCAGGCAGGGTCCTAAGCTCACACCTTGACTTCATCGTCCTCCTCAGCATCAGCAAACTGGAAGGTGTTTGCTTGCACTGTGCTGGGCACGGGGGTCCTGCTGGCTGCCTGGGGAGCCCCCCACTCTTCGTCCAGGCTCTCCCAAGAAGCCCGAGCCTGGGGAAGCACCTCCCTGGGCTCTGGCCAGGAATCTATCTCAGTGTGGTGGCGGCTGTCCTGCCTGTCCCTGTCCCTGTCTCCCCAGCCTGCTCCCCAGTGCCTGCCAGGGCCCATGTGAGCAGGTGCATGGGGATAATCTTCCACCGGGCTGGCCCTCATCTCAGCTGCTGGGCCCAACCCAGTAGTTACCCCATTGGGGCAGTGTCCAAGGGGTTGGGGGCTTGAGGCAGGGGCTGGGGGACTGATGACAGGGGCCGGGGGGCTTGTGGTGGGGGGTGGGGTCTCAGCTGCAGAGGCTTCTGAAAGGCTCATGACCCCAAGCAGCTCACTGAGGAGAGATGGGCCAAGGTCGAGGTCCAGGTGGAAGGACAGGAGGGAGTCTGAGCGGTGAAGCCCGGCCTCCGGGGGGAAGGTACTATCACGGTCTCGGTCACGAGGCTTTTCCTGGCGAGGCAGGCGGGAGATAGTGCAGAACCCAGAGTCCACGCCTGGAAGAAAAATGGGGAGCAGGGTCATAGCTGGGGTCCCTAACCAGGAACTGGGGAGGGGAGAGCCAGGACCGGGCCCAGGTTGCTAAGTGGCCTCTAGCATGTCACTCGTCCCATCTGGCCTCCGTTTCTCCCCTCTTTCCAATATAGTCAACCCTGGAGTCTCTCATAGGATCTTCTTATCAAGTCTAGAAGTGGAAAATGGACACACAGTCCTCACACCCATTTTGCACATTAAGGAAGTAAGACTCAGTTGGAGACAAGGGGAAAGGCTTGCCCTGGGGCACAGAGTCTGAGGGGATGGAGCCAAGTCTGGAGCTCAAACCTCCTGGCTCTCAGTCCCAACTGATGGTCATGGTCCCTGGTCCCCTTCCATGACAGGGGCCGAGGGTTGCAGGTGAACCCACAGCTCATGGGCTGGTTTGTAGGCACAGGGAAAGAACCAGCAACCAGGATCTGACTGCACAGAAATCACAGACCCAAAGGACAGGCAGATGCCCTGCGAAGGACCTCTGGACCACAGTCTCGCTCCAAGACCGCCAGGCCCGAGGCCCGGGGTGTTTACTGCCGACCAGCCCCCCATGGGAGATCTGAGCAGCGCAGTGGGGAGGCAGAGCACTGGAGGAAACCCCTGGCGGTGAGGCAAAGCCACGTGGCAGGGAACGGCCACCAGGGGGCAACAGGGGCTCCACTTCCCAGGTGAGCTGAGCAGTGGCTCCCAAATGGCCCTGGCCACTCGCCCCACAGCAGGAGGGACTTCTGGCTACTGTCCCTGGGAGTGTTTTTTCCAAACTGGCCAAGTTACAGGAACTTCTGTTCAAATAACAACACAGCAGTGAGTCCTGTGTCCTAAGCACCTACTCTGCGACTTGGGGCCATACCTGATGCATGTTATCCCATCTGTGGATCCCAGCAACGACCCTTGTGGACCCATGATACAGGTCAGGCCTTGACCTGATAGAGGCCAGCTGGCTTGTCGGACATCAGGCAGAACCAGGATTTTAATCCTGAGCCCAGACTCCCAGTCTATCCACTCTGTCATTCTGATTCAAGAGGGCTGCTTCCGTTGAAGGGGACAGGAGGGGATGGGCTGGCTTGGCCAGGGGCCCAGACACAGCGGGGCAGGTTAGAGGCCCATAGGACTCCAACCCAAGCTCCTCACCTCTCAACCTCAGTGTGTTTTGGGTTTTGGGGAGTGAGCTGGCTTGTGCCCCTTGGCCCCCACCCCATCCACGGTCTGCAGACTGGGCCTGACCTCCGTGGGGAAACCAAACTAACGTGGGGGAAAAGCGGCCACTCGGAGGCTGGGCTGACCCATCAAACCCTTTCAGCACCTACAGAATGAGCAGCGAGCCTGGGCCCTCACCGTAACTGGAGCGGCCGTCCATGGAGCTGGCAGGGCTGCGGTCGAAGGTGAATTTGCCCACCACGAGGCTGTCGTAGGCGGCCTGGTTGAGCTGGGGCAGGGAGATGGCGTTCTTGATGATTGGGGAGACCGCGGGTGGAGCAGGGGAGGGTGCGGGCGGGGAGGCCATCCGCCGGGGCGGCGCCCCCACCCGCCGCACCTGCTGGAGCTTCTTGGCCAGGAAGCTTCGGGGTGAGCGGTGAGTGCTCCCCGAGTTGCCCCCATGGTTGCTGAGAAAGGAGGTGTCGCCGAAGACATCCCCGCCACGGCCCACGTGCATGGTGTGGCGGAAGTCCCCAAGCGGGGGGCTGATCATGTCTGCCGTTAGCCGCCTCTTCCCGTGCGAGCTGGACACCCAGCCCACGGGTGAGAGCTTGCCCAGGCTCATGGTGGGGGCTCTTCCTGCCCCCTGGGGACCTGGCATCAGCTCTGGCTCTTCACAGCTGCTGGTCCATGCCCCTGCCCGGGGCTTGGGCTCGGGTTCCGAGTCTCAGCTCCCTCCTTCCCTGCAGAAGGGGGTGCACGAAAGCTGTCCCTCTCGCCCCCTGCGCTCCTAAGATGTCACCCCCAAAGGCTGCAGCTGTGGAAGGCCCATGGCTGTTCTCTCCCTGGGGCCTGCCTCCTGGCCCCGGGGAAGGCCCCGTAGGTGTTCGGTCTCAGAACAGGGAAGGGACAGGTTGTGTCTTGAGTGTGGTCAGCCCCTCTCTGCCCAGGGGTAGATTCCTGAAAGAAAGAGAGAAAATGATGGTGGGCCCGGGGGATCCTAGGTCCAAATCATCTCGAGGGAGAGCAGGGGACTACATCCACCGGACAGAGATGGGGGTCACTTCCAGTGCACGAGGACGACACGCTGTATAATTCCGGGTACCTGACACTGAAGAGTAGGCAAAGGAAACGACAGGGGTAAGGTCGGCATTGTGGTTGCCACTGAGCAGGGTCCACTGGGAGGGGGGACAGAATAATCCACCCAGCTGTCCACTCGAGATGTGCAGCAGGAAGAAACGTGGATGGTCCTTACAGCCACCCATCTGTGACACGCCTACTAAGTGCTGATAAATTACCTCTGTCACTAATGAAACTCACATGACAGCCCTGGGGAGGAGGTACTGTTTTACAGCAATGGCGGCACCAAGAAGTGAACTGACTTGCAGGAGTCTACACGGTCAAAAGGCCAAGGCAGGGGTGCTTGGGTGGCTCAGCCATTAAGCGTCTGCCTTCGGCTCAGGTCATGATTCCAGGGTCCTAGGATGGAGCCCCCAATCAGGCTTCCTGCTCAGCGGGAAGCTTGCTTCTCCCTCTCACTTGCCTTGCTTGTGTTCCCTCTCCCGCTGTGTCTCTGTGTCAACTAAATAAATAAAATCTTAAAAAAAAAAAAAAAAGTTTCTTCTGTTAAAAAAAAAAAAAAAAAAAAAGGCCAAGGCACAGCCCATCCCTTACTCCGCCCCACCAACTCAGAGTCCTTGAGCCCTAAGCTAGTCTCCTCTGCTGCCAAACTGAGCAAATCACCCCTCCTTCTCTGTGGGTAAAACTGTCTTCCTCTTCTGGAAGAGGCCAGGAGGGAGGTAGTGCCCTGCCACGGGCTTTGGGAACTGCTGTGTAAACAGCCTGCACCAAGGTTTCTCAGAACCCTCCGCCTTCAAGGTGCTTCCTGGAAAAAGGATCCTGTGGTCAAAAGTGGCTTTTCCCAGCTGTCCATTGCATGCCTGAGCAGATTCAAGGCTCTGAGTAGGCCCGCAGGGAAGAACTTTACTATTTTCAAATTGAGGCAGGAGACTTGCTGTCAGGGAACAAGTTTTGGAAAAAGCTTAGTTGGTGCCGGAAGCTATTCCTTGCTCTCTCCCCCGCCCCCCCCCCGACACGCCCCATCCTTCTCTAAGCTTCTCTTGGTCTGATCCCATCCCTGGAGAAGGCCTATGAGCCCGTGGTCTGATCTCTGGTTTTCCTGTGGCCCAGAGAGGGTCCAAGGTCATCTCAAGAGAGCTAGTCCAGACTTGAACTCAGGTCACATCAAGAGAGCTAGTCAAAACTTGAACTCAGAGCCTCTGACTCACAAAGCCTTTGACTGGCTCCTGGAGCCAGGTCTTGTTTCCCCAAATTGGCAACACACTGTGAAGGTGTGGCTGAGGTCTCGATGTTCCTGTCTCCCTCCCTCCTGGCACCCAGCTTGGGCTCTGCACGTGGCAAGTGCCATATCAACAGGGGTTCAATCGCAGCAGATAGCTACAATAACCTTCCTGCCGAAAGATCCCCCCTTGCCACCTTCCAAGGGAGGGCAGGTAGGTGAGTGGGTGGGAAAAAGCTTCACCGTATGACCTTGAGCAAGTCACCTACTGCCAAGGGCCTGGGACCTCAGCTGATAAAAGTTGATAATAATCCTTAACAAGAACACCTAGATCTGTGCCTCAACTTTTTTTTTTTTTTTAATTTTGCAGCCACCTCCAAGCAGAAAAATCTCAATACTGCCCTCTCAATGTTATTTGAAATTCAAAATAGGTTAAATAACAAGATAAAAACAAAGAAAGCAATAAAACAAAGCTTGCTTTGTTCTCTGACTACATTCTCTTCCCTTCCCACCTTCGGATCCTCCCCCGACGCTAACTCCTCCCCCTGGGGGGGGGAGGCTGTGTGAATCATCCTTTTCCCTGGCACCCCCGGCACCAAGTCCTCGTGGAATGTTTGCTAAGTTATGGAGCACTCTGCAGTTGGCCAACCAGTACATAACGTCATCGGACTCCTAGAGCCCCGCAAAGCTGAGGGGTTAGCCCATTTTTACAGGGAGAGCCAAGGTTCAGAGGGAAGGGACTTGGCCAAGGTCACCTAGCAGGTACACGGCAAGGGCCAGGTTTCCAGGTTTCTGAGCTCTGCAGAGATGAGGGATGACTTTTGGGGAGGGAGAAGGATCTGAGGGGGTCACCCTGAGATGCCATGTGAGGGGTCCTATGTCTGCCTTGTGGCTACACCCACTGCTCTCCCAGCCCCCACCTCGAAGTGGCTGCTCTTGTCTCAGCAAAAGGGACCTGGTCCCCACCGAATCCCCATAGCCACTTTTACTTGCGATCCCAGCTTCTGCCCCAGTCTTAGGATGCTCCTGCCTCCCAGATGCCTCTGGAAGGTCTGTCCTCACCCTCTACCTTGCACACTGCAAGAAAGAGACCTTGCCTTTAGAGTGGTTGTGGGGTCAAAGGCAGGGCATTGCTACTGGGGACCTCTTTTCCCACGTGGAAAACAAGAAAAACATCAAGAGCTGGTCCTTCCCCTGAGGAGCTGTAAGAGCCCCAGTTCCTGGAGCAGAGCAGCCCCAGCTCAAAACCAACACGCCAGCACTAACATCTCTCATTCGGGGCCCCCTTGGTCCCAGCTACTTGGTCCCAGGTGCTGACTGCAGGGTTTATTGGGGAAGATCAGATGCACCCACCTGGCCCTGGAGGAAGAGGGGCTCCAGGTGTCCCAGTGCAAGGCCTACTTCCTCCCACCAGCCCAGAATTACTACCTGTTAACGCTCAGGACACCCATTTTACAGGTGAACAAAATGAGGTGCAGAAAAGGGGACTGACCGGCCCCAAGTCACAGAGCAAAGAAAGTGCCGTGGCCGGGAGCCTCCCTGGGATTCTGTCACCATCACTAGTAAATGCCAGGGCAGAGGCAGGACCACAAGGGCCCAGGGATGGTTGTTGGAGGTGGCAATGCCCAGCAGCTGAGTTCAGGAAGGGCAGGCCTGGGAGGCAGGAGACTCACCTGCGTGGATTCAGTGCCCGTGACCCAGGCAGGAGTGGTCAGCGAGCAGCCTCAAAGTCCCAGCAGTCCTTGTATTTAGTCTACAGAGGATAGTCCGGAGGAAGCACTTGGGAAGAGGTTACTCAATGGTGGTCATGACCGCAACGGACAAGGTTTGAGGCGGGAGGCAGTGACCACGCTTTCACAGCGGCCGACAGGGGCCGCTGTGGAGGCTCCGTGGTGCGGTGGAGGGAGGAGGCGGTCTGACATTGGGGGAGGGCAGAGGCGGGGCGCCTGCACCCTCGGGCTCACCTGGGGGTCACCCGCGTGCCTGCCAGCGCGCCACCTGTCACCAGGGAGGCCACGCACATGCACACAGCCCCCTCGCCACCTGTGTCCAGCTAGGTAACACCACCAGTACCGCTGGACAGCGCGGCCCTACCTGGGTCAGGACTGGCCCTAGAATAAAAGATTAACTCCCTGGGGACCCTCGTAGCCCTTAAAGCCCCCACACCCACCGCACGTGGAGAGACGGGCAAACTGAAACCAGGAAAAGCGCATCAAGCTGTCCGAAGTCGCAGCGGGGACCCTGTTGCTGGACTCTGAGGGGGTTAGGAGGGAGCACCAAGGGCCACAGGGGAGTGAGAGGGAAGAGCGTGGGGGGCGGGGGGAGACATTTCTTGGCCCACCACTCCAAGTTAGGGCCGAAGCCCTCTACTCGGGGAGGGGATTGGCCACGGACCAAGTGTCCCCCAGTCCTGGTTTCCAGTCCCCGAAAGGCGCTTGGCGCGGCCTCAGGCGGGTCCCTCTGCCTCTCTAGGCCTCAGTCTCCCGGTCTAGAAAATGGGCTTCAGACTTCGCGGGTCTTGCCTGGTAGAGGCAAGGACAGAACAATCTCGAGGCCAGTCGGCGTTGGAAGCCCCGGGAAGACTTTGGCCATAAAACATTCCCTCTGGGAGATAGGGGTTTAGAATGGGGAGGGTCGCTCCGCGGGAGAAGGGGACAGCTGGCTGCCGTGGCCCGAGGGGAACCGGACGGGATGACCTCATCCGCTGCTTGGCTTGGAATGCGGCGGTTGGGGAGGGGGCAGGGTGCCTGGTCCATCTCCCTAGCGGTCCCTCCCGCCCCCCACTTCCCGCTCTCCACGCCCGCCTCGCCAAGGGGCCCGACATTCCGGGACATCGCCCCCTCCCCGTTCCTTCCCTTCCTTTCCCAGGGCAGGAAGGAGCGTAGACGGCCCTCCGCTCGCCCCCTCCTCCCGCAGCCCGCTTTACCGCTCACCCACCCCAACTCTGCGCCCCTCCGCTCGCCGGGGACAGTACAAAACCACCCCCAAACTTGGAGGCACCCCCGCGCTGCTCCCGCGGCCGGCGGCTGGTCCTTCCTTGTTGGCACCGGGAGCGCCTTGGGCCGCCTGGCCTCCCCCCCTACCTCAGCCCCCGGGTGCCTAGGAGGGTGCCGGGTTCCCCCCACCCCCGCCGGCGTCCACGCCCACCCAGGTGGCGCTGTTACCTTCGCTCCGCGAGCCCCGGGGGCCGGGGACCGGGGGCCGAGGGGCGGACGCGGCGGCAGGGGTGGCGGCAGCGCGTCCCGGCTCACAGCCCGGGCGAGTGGCTGGGCCGGTCTGCGCCGCCCTGGCCGCGGGCTTCGCGGGCTGGCTCCGGGGGCGGGGGCGGGGTGTGGGCGCGCTCCCTCCCCGCGCCTCGCTCCTCCCGCCCGCGGGCGGGGCCGGGCCCCCTCCGGGGCACCAGTCGGGCCGCCGCAAGGGGCGGTGAGAGCCGGAGCAGGGGGGGGGCGCGGCCAGGGCGCGGGGCCGGAATTCTGGCCCGCGGCCCCGGGCAGGGGGAGACCCGGCGAAAGTGCGGGTGCCCGGGGGCGGGCGGGGGGTGGGGAGACGCGCGTCGTCGGCAGCCCTCCCCTCCCCCACTGGCTCCCCGCGGGGCCTCTGGGCGCGCAGACCTGAGGACTCTGGCTCCTGGCCTCCCCAGCCGCT